TGATTGTCGGAAAATTCAAATCTCAAAGAAAAGTCGCCGGAAACAGCCTGAAAATAGCCGAAACCCTAATTTCGGCGATCGGATTTGGTCAAAAACAGTATGGGCCTAGTCGGAATGGCTGGACGACCCCAACTGTCAAAAAATATGATCAGAAAAGCCCCCACGTGCCATCGCGTGAGACAGATATCGCCGGAAACTACCACCTCTGATTGGCGCGTGAGAGCGCGTGGGGTGATGTTTTCCGGTGGTTCTGGCTGGGGTTTGGTCGCGGGAGCTTTCCGAGCCTCGTGGTGGTGTTGGTTTTCGCACAACACCCACAAAAAGAAAAAAAAAACAAAATTAGACCCAACAGTCACCGGAAATTGACATAGACATATGATGACTTGTTTGTTCTCACCAATGCTCTGATACCATGTGAGAAATATATGAGAAAAATATTATTGAATTGTGTATCTAAATAGTTACATTGAGACCCTATTTATAGACACTACATTGGAATCCTTTTCCAACTAGGATTCCTATTCTTATTCCTATTCCTATTCTAAGTAGGAAATACTTATTTCTATTCTAACAGTTGATACTGATTTGCCTGTTATTTGACATTTGGAAGCTGCTATGCTGCTCCTTTGGAAAGTTCTCCAATATCTACTATAATTTAGTCCCTAATGGTAGGTGTTTTATACATATTCACTTCAACTTTTAGAATATGGAAGCTTGTACTATGTGCTTCTGTTATTGTAGAACTTGGGCTGACATGTTGTTTGGTGAATATTCTCCAGGTAGAGGTGGAGTTGGACAATGATAGTGTGTACAATTTGTCCGCTGAGTATTTGAGAATATCTAGCCCAGCTGTTGATAGTACAATTAGATCAGTTGGTGGTGACTGGTGAGAAGGTAACTACATGAAAATTTAGTTTTTACCATGCCTAGATGATTTATTGGTTCTTCTGCTGTTTCATAATAGAAAGTTCATCATCCTGTTCTAATAGCACTCAATAAAGCTATGTGAGCTTTCATTCGATCAGTTACCAAGGATAAACTAGTATATGTGTAGCTTTAGCCTTTATCTAGTCTTTGAAGAATTCTTATATTACTCAAATTTCCACTTCTTTTGTGTTTGTGGATCAGGTCATATATGGGAGGCGACACGCGGGGATCACTTCTTCTGAACCTATTGGAATTATGGGGTGAGGTAGTAAAAGCACATACTTTTTGTCTTCAGTATTGAGTCTCTTTTGCTTTTTCGGTAATGTCATCCATTTGGTTCCATTCTAGGTAATTGTTCGATGACTTGCATAAGACTGGCATTTTCATGTGGGACTACCTCTACCATCTTGGGAGCAACAAACTCACTCTTGTGAGAGATTACATTAAAACTCTAAAGAAACATGGACTTAGCCGGGATCCTCCCAGAAGAAAGTGATTGTTAAACACACCATGAATATGCTAATTGTCATGGAAAACATACAGTATTTATGGTTAGGAGACAATCTTCGCATGTGCACAAAGTGGCAGGACAGAAACCAGCCCCTAACAAAGTGACTAGCTTTTCATATATTGTCATATGTGCACTCGAATTTGTGGCATTTTATAAGCAATGCATATTTGATGTATCCAATGAAACTACAATGCCCAAAAGCAGAATTCCAGTTGAAACGAAGGATTCAATGGAACTTGCATATGACATACAGTGCTTCCAAGTTCATTCCATTGCATGAATTTTTGCAACTTTTCAATCTCTGGTTTGTTTGCTGTTACTGTAGTAGTTGCAAGAAAGGATGCAAACGGGCAGGTTAAGCAACTCTGGACTGCTGAAACAGCATGAGATACAAATGGACATGGTGTTATGATGCCCCATTGAAGATGAGGCATGTAGATGTTATGAAGACAAGCTTGATGGGACGATAGAGAAAAACAATGAACATGGCAAGGAAGATACTAATTTCTCTTGGGTCACTAATTTTATTTCCAAATTGTACTATAACTTCTGAAATCGATTATTGAGAAACAAGAAAGGGGAATAAAGAAGATCTGAGAACAAATTTGGTGAATTGTATTCTCATATCATTGCCTCTTTTTTACTTATATTGAACAGAAATCCTCTATGAATCCTCCATATCCAGCAATTTTAACAGCTTATTTCTTAATTCAATGCGAAGTAATACAGCTTGGCATATGCTTTCTTCCTTTATTATTATTATTATTTGCAAACAGAAATTCTTGAAACTATTTCTAATGATTCTGCACATCGACCAACATATAGCTGATCAGTCACTGCACTGTCTAGATTTTTGAAAGTACAAATTAGACTGTTGCTAGCATATGAAAAAATAGCAATTTTGAACTATATTAGTTGCTAATAATAGCATTTGTTTGGGTCCAGCCATTTGATATGGCTCTTTCACTTTTGGTAAATATCAGATGCTTTCCTATGCTAAGCTGTTGCTACTGTTTTTCACTTGAAATATGACATTATAACAACTGGTGGTTCAGCCAGTTGCATTTGTTGTTGCAAATCACATGACATTTGAGAAACAAAAAGGCATAACCTTACGTTTTCTTCTGCTTGCTGTGAAATATGAGCTTCACATAGAAGCGCACTCCTTTTAATATGATGATTACAAATCTACTAAACACTCACATAAAATGTCTTGTTACTCGTAATATAATCCAGCAAACGAAACAATAATATATACATTTTGTTACAATGTAACATTCATGAACGTGAGCAACATAATACGAAAATCATCTGCCACTTGAAATTGTCCCAACTAATCTAAACTTTGAAGTATGAACGATAAGGCCCCACCTTCTACTGAAAAAGACCTCAACTTTCTGTCTTGGTCAAGCAAGCAGAATTCACTTTTTTCCTTTTTGCCTCAGCAAGCAGGGGGCCTACACCTTTAAACAACGTTCCTCTTTTACACTTTTTTCCATTTGAATTTCAAATTTAAACGCTCAGAGATCCATAAAAAGTGTGTGAGAGAGAAAAAAATTACATGCTATAATTATTAAGGGAGAAAAACAACAACAACAGAACAATAATCCTAGTAATTTTTTCTAGTAACATTCTAGTACTGTTCCAGGTTGTTTTGTTGTTTGTCCTGTAATGGGAGATTCAGCTTGTCTTATGCATGCCTTCTCTTATGCTTCTGCATTACCACCCAATGAAGCTAAACAGGTACTATTACTTTGTTTTTCTATAGTCTCCTATTTGGTGGCCGGGCTCCTGAGCCAGAATTTTCATATATAAACAAGTAAACACACGAACCCTGAATCCTGAACTATGTTAATTATTTGTAAATTCAGGGCAACCACATGCATGCTCTAGGGGAGTCTATTTCTTTTGGGAGATTTACGACGGAGTCATTGGCATGGGATAAATGGTCTACATTCCCTCACAAGCGTTATGTTGAGGAAGCAGAGAGGTATGCTCAACCAGGTTCTGTTGCTCAGAAAAAAGCTTTCTTTGAAGCTCATTACAAGAAAATTGCTGCCCAAAAGGCGGCAGCTTTGCTTGAACAAGAAAATACCCAACAAGATACTCTAACAGTGGATCCCAATGTCAATAGTTCCATGGAAGGAGTTGCTGATGTGAAGGAGAAAGAAAATGCCGCGCCTTTAGCACATGCAGCTTCATTGAAACAACCCCAAGAAACATTTTCAGGATCAGAGCTTAGTGAAATATCTCATACAGAAAAACCTTTGCTGAAGGTAAATATATTCTACTCACTCCTATGGTTTTTACTTGAATTGCTATTCTAGGTTGTACTATGTTATTGTTACAGCTAGGATCAAATGATCACCATCGTGCCAAACGTTATAGCTGATAGAAATGACGTGAATCTTTAGTTCTTAACCGAACTCATTAAGCAAGCATCATGTTCGATCATGACTCTGACCCTAGCCATATCAGCCCATCACTTGACTTCGCCATAGGCAAGATGATGGCATTGCCCAACAGTTACACTCATAAATTAAATTGTGTCAAGAATATTTTAGTCTGGACTTGTATGTGTGAGTCTAACCTGAATGAAATGAATTCGAGTAGAGAGGATTAGATATAGAGTAGATTGAGAAGTTGATTAATTGATGGTTTGATTAACTGATTGATTGATCTAGATTAATATGCTGGTGTATGGAGACTGATTTTTTTCGTCGATCCAGCAGAGTTCCAGCTCTAAGCAAGACGATGATGTTACATCTGCGACGAGCAAGAAAAAATCAGCTTTTTCTTCATTCAAATCATCAGTTCACTCTATAAAGTCTAAAATTCCACCTTCGCCAGCTAGGCATAACATTTCTCGTCTTGTCAATAAAGAAAACAATTTCACTCCAATCACAAAGAATCCCACATCAGCGTTCACAAATGAAAAGAAATCAACCTCGAAATCTTTGAGCAGATTGATGAATTTCACTCCTGCCAAAGAGACAGATAAGGTGCCTCCTCCTCTCCCTCCCACATTCAAGAAGGAAAGTTCAAAGATCGCTCCCAATGCCGCGAAGAAGTGTATAACTCCTCTAAAGACTCCTGTGGTACTTACTTAACTCTCATATGCAAAATGCTAATCCTCCAAATAAGTAATAACTGTACCTAAGGTATTACTCATATTATCACTTCAGTTTAACTTGTTATAGCAAGTAAGTTATCTTTTTATCAGGTTACTGATTAATGCTTATGAAAGAGACATACTTGTAATTACCTAATAATCTTTTATTGCGCCAAAGATAAACTCGTAAATACTATGCTGGACTTGCTAAAATTTGTCTCTCTTTCACCTGCAGGAAACTTCAGATGGTGCAGCCAAACATCCTATGACAACCCCATCTTCTGAAAATAGAAGGTATTATTATATCATAGTAAAAAGACATATCAAGCTTTCCAACTGCAAAAATATTGCATGTTTTTTCATAGCGGAAAACAGCAACAACCATTAACTTGGTTCGCTTTTATTTCAAATTTACAGGATGGAAACACCAATTCATCCATCAGCCTCAGGAAGTCAAACAACCGGTCCTAAATGGAATATATTGTCATCTGTGTAAGTATCTTCAAAAAAATAACTTCGGATTTTACGTTTACATACAGTAGATGGCTACATGTAAAAAGGCAACAACAACTTGGTAGAAGGGCATTGAGTTAACATGTAAATCTGCTAATTAGGACATTCTAGCAATCGTAGACGCACTTTACCATTATGATCTAAGTGGATGAAAGCTAACATAGCAGGAATATTTGAGATGCTCTTTATAGTAGAAGTTTGGGTTGAGGAGAAGTTGATTCTACTAGAATATAGTTCTATAATCAGACAGTAAGCAAATTGAAATCAAAACTGCATAGTCAAATGTTTGTCAACCGAAAATAAGAAATGGTTCATATATCAATCATACACCAGGTATGCCCTATATTGGCATGAATCCAAGTTGCACTATGCAGATTATAGAATTCTGTCAGTTTGTTGTGCCACTGGATCTCTCTTACCTTAGTACTGTTCTGCAGTTGTTCCAAGTCTTTAACAGCCTGCCGTAACAAACTACAATCGCCCTCTTTATCGACTCCTTTTCTACTGAGGACAGAAGAAAGAGCTGCAAGAAGGAAACAAGTAAGGCCTTTTTTTATATGTATTGACATCTTCGAGATCAGGATTATCTACTTGTGTTTCATAAGTTCAATGATCCCATCTTACACCTGTAAATTTTCTTCAGAAGCTTGAGGAGAAATTCAATGCAAAGGAGGTACAGAAAGTTCAGCTACAAACAAAAATAAAGGTTCTTCCTGAGCTTCCTTATTGGATTGTCCGATTTTTCTTTCTTTATCGTCTCTCCAACAACTTAAGTCTTTAATGTCTTGGCATGACTTCTTCAACTGCAAGCAATAAGTAAATTAACCTGATATGAACGGATACCCTTTTGCTCACAGGAGAAAGCTGAAATGGAGCTCAGGAAACTTCGACAAAGCTTTTGTTTCAGAGCTCGTCCCCTGCCTAAGTTTTACAAGGAAAGAGAAACAGCAAGAAATTACACAAAAAAGGTACTAACATAATTTCTTGCATCACCGATTCAGATAATCCTAAAAGAATACTTTGTCCCCATTGTCAAAACATGTCATGATATATGGCCATGATGATTTTAACTATATCAACTTACGGGCTTTTTCATTTCTTATAGTCTTAAGTCTAAACAATGAACTGTCTAATGCTCATTTTTCCCCCCCAAAAGTACCTTCTGGATCCATATTTTGAATAGTTTAGGTTTTGTCCATGCTCTACTCTCTTGGCGGTGGTTCATATGGTTTAGTTTGGTGCAGACCCCGGTTAAACGTCCTCAGTCACCAAAACTTGGAAGAAATCCCAGTAACAGCACAATGCAAGACTTGGCGTCACACCCAACCTCTACATATTCAGGCAAGAATTGCTCTTACAAGTATTCAGGAAAGAAGAATTGCCCAATATCGATAAATTCTCATACCTTGTCAACAGTAATGTCTCATGATCAGAACGCATCCCCAAATATACAACATCAATTTGGAGTCATAGATGTATAATGTCTCTCATTACATTAATAACATAGCTTTAACCTGTGTTAAAGCTATGTATATGCAAGAAATCGCCATTTCCCGTTACTTGTTTTATGAAAAGTTGAACCCTGTAGTGTAGTCTAAGTTTTCGAGTGTGAGAATTGTTCCATATGGTATCTGCCTTTGTACATCATAAAGTAAAACTTTACAAAGTTTTAGGGTGACATTCAAACCAGATCAATTTAAGTATCAGAAAGAAGTGCATGCCTAATATATCAAAATTATATTGCAGTAAGTAGTCTTTACAATTTAAAATCGAAAAACTGAAGTTTTTTCTCATTTTTGTGCTATATAACACAAACTGCAAGGTTGTCCTGCTTTATTTAGTTCTGGCATGAACATGCTCGGGTTATACATGATTTCTGATATGAACAATTGTTTGCTTACAGCAATAAAATCATTATAAACATAAGAAAATCTTAGTACAACAGTTTATTCGACTGTAAATACAAACCAAGTCAATGTACTAAGATC